AGACAAAACAGGAGATCGAGCACCACCAGCTAGAGAAAAAAGGTGAACCTTCAACTGCGCCTTTCCCCATTTTACCACCAAGCAGATGACTGCAAAGAGCTTATGCTTGCACGGTCCGTAACGTTAGTGCGAGTCTTATACTCTGCTTTCAAAGATTTCACACTCTAGAATATTTCTACTTCAAGGATCAAACTGACATGGAACTGATGTTGTCGGGGAAAGTGTACGTTGCAAACCAAGGAGCCGAACAAGGGGTCGTCTTTTTATGCAAAGATAATATTATAAAAACATGATGAGAACTCCTTTGCATAACTGCTGACTTCAAATGTTAATAACAAATAAAGTGAAATTATTGTTGGTATTACTTGTTACTCATAGACGGATGCTGCCAGAGGGCCTTGTTTAAATTATACACTGATGATGTTACATTTGACATAAAAAAGAACCCAGAGTATCAAGTGGGGGCTTGTTCAATATACTTTTAGGTTTTGTTTACTTTTGAGATGCCAAACATCATATATGCGTTCTTAAGCAATTTTAATGCTACCATTATTTTTCCTTAAAAATGTTTACCTTTTTCTCAATTATATTCTTAGGTAAGACCTTTGGATTCGTTTTTATAAATGGATTATGACAAAAACTCAGAGGCTTTAATTTTATGTGCAAATTGTAAAGCTATGGACAAAATTGACACAGTTGAGAATAATTTTGTGTGGATACCTATTATTAAGTGCATTAATAACTACACTGGAAATTCGCTCGTAGCTGTGTAGAATGTGCGATGAAAACAACAAGCCTTACAATCGTTTTGTATTAGGACAATTAAGTTATTAATAAATAAGAACAGTAAGGACTTTGTATAAGTAGTTAGTAGGTAAGAATGATTGAATGTGACTTGAATCTTGTACATTTTATATCAGTATTATGATAAAATAAAAAAATAGTTAACGCAAGTATCGCGTAAGAGTTGTTCACTAAGCTTTTTGAGATTCCAGAGTAAGTTTCTTCTTTAATGTATTCAGTATTTTTGTCAATCGTCTGCTTTTTGTTATTTTCGTTGTCCTTGTTTGTGTACTCCGTGTTGTAATGAAATAAAAATAAAAACAAAATCAAGCCGTAATTATGACTTATGAGTGAAAAAGCATAGCAAAATGTCTTCTCATACGAAGACTTGCTACACAAAAAGAAGAAAAAATTTTCCTATAACCCTTTCTTGGAAGTGATAAATGAATTCAATTCTATGGAAGCATTTTCATTTCTTACCAAAGTACCGATATGTCTCCGCTATAATTATATTAACAAAATTTAGGTACTCTAGGCATCCCTTAGAAACAGAAAATTAACTATACTGGTACAAAAACTTACTTTTTGAATAATGTCTACCGTTGAGGGTTACTTATTATACCAAAGAATGACATGATATATAAGGTTTCTAAAAAACACAAATTAGCCTCTAGTAAGAGGTCATCGGCATCTTTTTTCAGCGGATCAGTTTTCCAGTTATGGTTATTTTTGCCCTTTTTGTTGTACTGTTTCTTTCACAGCAACAATCTAACAATGAGAAATATTTCGCATATTGTAATCAAAATATAAAAAGGTCTCAGAAAATACAAATATAAAGATATTTATCCCTTTTGGAGTTCTTTCAATTTTCAAGATATTTTGAGACATCAGTGTCTGGGGTTTAATACAAGAATTCTCTCAACAATAAATATATATGTAATATAAAATTATATTTCACATTTTAAATGTATGAATATCATCTTAAATAATATTTTGGGCCATTAAAAATAAACAAGTGGCGAGATTTTCTCGCCAAAAAGGATACATTATTTCGACCAGGAGGTCAATTTTGTTTGTTTAAGAATTTACTCGTTCTTTCCATTATTCTTGACGCATAGGGCTTTATGAAATTTAGGCAAAGTAAAAAACAATTTAGTGGACCACTTTTGCCAAGGTTATGTGGGGGTACCAAGAAGTTATAGGGAACACTTCCAACATATCTCGCTAGGAGGTAAGGTATAATGGAGACCATTAATTTGTTACCTCTCTACTTGAGAACATCATCTCTGCAAACACATTTTCCTTTCCATAGCGAAGTCAAGTGATTTTCTTAAATCACTCTTTTTATTTCCGTATTTTTAAATCCGCCATTTCAACAATTACGACCTTTTGAATACTTCAAAACAAGAGAGAGAAAATGTTTTTCTCAAATCAAACGTTTTCCTCGCCCTGCGTAGACACCAAGTCCTTTTAAATAGAGTATTTAAGTGGAAGTAATCATGACCGATTTTAATGGCTCGCTTTCATAAAAACCTGAGATAGTCGCACGGAGGTCATTGATGTGAGAGCCTGCCTCAAAGGCGTCGTCCAAGCAATCTTACGCGATGCACATTCTAAAGTGGCCATGGAATCCATGTTTGGCTCCAAACATCAATACAGATCGCAGAGGCTCAACTTTATTATTGCGAACAGAAACACAAGAAAACAATAAACAAACTAGACTCATCAATCCAGCGACGCACTCACCCAGCTTATCTGGCAACATCCTAGTAGTTCGTTACCACGGCATATTCATAAATCTGCCCAGAAGGTCTGAGTTGGTTGAATTTGTCGACAAGCTTCTTCATTCTTCTTGCTATCTTACAAAAACAAATTTCATCAGGCACGAGACTCACACCTCTTGCTGAAATTTGTTCATTTAAACCATTAACGAATGGGTAGTGGCCCAGGCAGAAATAGACACCTCGGAGTCATTGACCCTCGATAAGGCCAAAGGATACCCTCAAAATATTCCTGGCGACAAAGTCAATGAACGCAGGCTTCGCCTATCAGACCACTGTGGCAGACAGCCCGAGTTAGAAGCATCCCAGCTGATTCACAGCTCAGTGTCAGAAACTGAGGAAAACAAGTCCGACACACTAACAGCTTTAAGTTGATACAGGTCTGAATTCCAAAGAGTGTTCAGAATGGGAGTCGCCTCAATCAGCGAGCTTTCATGCCATTAGGCCCAATGCACGAATTAGCCTTTTTCTAAAGATCAGAAATTTCCTCTGACGAGATCCTCTTCCAGGCGGAGATACTATCTAACAGGTGTCACGTTGCCGTACAAAGAACGCTTTCGAATATTATATCACCTTTTGTTTTCTTAAAATGTAGCCTTGTTTCGTTTTGATTGCGTGATAATAAAATATCCTTTTTCGGCTAGCCGCACAAAGAGTTATTTCAGTTTAGTTTCCTTTACGTCATAGAAGCATAATATGCCTTTTTTCACGCGAACATTTTAGTTTTTAAGGAGTTGTCCCTGGAGCAAAGAGGAGTTTTGTAGGAGTCTTTCGGAGTTTTTTTTTACAAGTTGGAGTTTTCTCATCCCCGGAGCCAAGATCAGACGTAAGTCACGATCGTTAGTTGTGTTTTCTGTCGTCAGATTTGTAGATTAGCTCGTTTCCTTAGCTTAGACAGATCGTGCATTCCCTTTTAGTTTTTACCGCAAGTGTTGTAACAAGTCGGCTAGCCTGATTGCATGATTTAGTCCAATAAACGTGTGTAAGAGTCTGCTGTCCGTCCCGTAATTCACTGTGGTTGACCTGGCGGACCCAACTACGCTGCACCCCGTGTCTGCCGTGCTAGGAACGCAACAACAGGCTTGGCGAAATATTAACACAGGACTTAAATCAAAGCATGTGGCAGGCATCTAAGAGAAAGTGTTAGACGTTTCTCCAAAGAAGAAGTTCCTCCAAGAAGAGAACCTTATGAATGAGACCTTCCATCCTTCAGAGATATTACTTAGAGGACGCACTGATGCTTTAAGATACTTCATTAGAATTGTCCTCAAGTGAAACAAATGGAAAAGATTAAAGCTCGATGTGTAAAAATTGAATTATGATAGGAATAATCTAGAAAGAAAAATATTTAATTTAACATTAACTTAGTTGCCTTGAAACACTAAGTACCACATAAAATTTCGATTTCATACATTATAACCTTTTCAATGTTTAGTTGACAAACCAAACAAAATTATCTAAAATATTGTTCTTTAAATAGTTAATTATCATCAGGCATAGAAAGCTTGATCAAATTCCTCTTTTGTAAAAACTTGTTTCCTTTTTGCAATAATGAATTCTATTTTTTTTTTCCAACGGCTTTGATAAATGTTTTCTTACCCATTGCCTACTGAAATTTGAAAAAGGCAGTTCTTATTCGTCATTCACTGCGAATTATCCCAAACAAATTCTGCTGGAATTCAAACTGGGCAAATGCATCCGTGTAAATGTAAAATTTTCGCAAGCCAGCAAGGCTGTCACCACCAAATCAGAAATAGACGCCACACGGAGTTCCATCACAAAAGGAGATGGAAACCGTGTATTTACATAGCACGTTCAAAGGAAGATTCAGTTGGTTTACCACAAAGTTAAGGATTTCAGGTTGGAATTGGATTTACCCGTTTAGTCTTCATTAAACTCAGCATTTTTAAAAAACCCTCGAGGTCATAACTCGTGACTTTTCAAAAATGCTTTGGTCTAATTTTAATCAGTCATCAAATCGATTGACATTATGCTTAATCAGGAAAGTGACGATGCTCGACAAGATATTGCGTTTTCAGCTAAAATCTACGCCCGTTTACTTTTTGTTCTTTTATCTATTTTACTTCACAGCATGTTACCCTTCTAGTAGGCCTCCCCCTCCAAAAGGTGACTGAAAAGACACGTATCACAAGCTGACAAAACAGTTCTTTGGTAAGCAACCTAACAAGGTTCATGAAATAAACCTACAAAAAGATCCTGATGCAACAACAAGGGAACATCACTCAACAGTTGCCCGTTGCAAATCAACCGAGTCTACCCAGCATAATACTTCAACCTTGCACAAAACAATTAAACATTTCAACTCACCACTATGCCACAGTTAGTCCCTCATGCACCGAACTGGCATATACCAGAAGGTAATTTAGATAACCTGCTATCAATGATTTGACGAAATGCCTGGAATTCAAGCATCCTTGAATTCAAATTAAATCAGTGAATTTATTCAATTTGCAGCAAATTCAAATATAATAATGAACCATAAAAAATTACGCGCTTGTGAATGGCTGAAAACGAGAGAATTCTCATGTAACACGAGTGCAAATGACAAATGGCACGCGCATGCTTTCAAAATTTCTTCTGTCTTGACTTTCTGTGATGTGTTTTTTTACGTACACCATTAAAAGTAATAATATGATTTTTCTTGAAATTTGGTGTAATGAGCACGAGATGTCTTTGAAACACTCACTTGTGCTTATCAACACCAAATTGCACTCGAAATCATAAGATAATATTGCCAATGCATAAATTTTAACTGTATTGGGGTATGTTTGTGACTATGCGTATGAGCTGGTTTTAATACTCGTAATAAATATTAAAGTTAGCATCATGTAGAAAACTTGGCTAATTCTCTGAGGGGAGCGTGAGCTGTTTCAACTTGACAAGGAGCTATTTTTTCCAAGGCATCAG